GTGTGTGTGTGTGTGTGTGTGTGTGTGTTGTATGTGTGTGTATGTGTGTGTGTGTATGTGTGTATATATATATATATATATATATATATATAACAATATATGTATATATATATATGTATATATATATATGTATATATATATATGTATATATATATATATATATATATGTATATATGTATATATATATATATATATATATATATATATATATATATGTATATATATATATATATATGTATATATATATATGTATATGTATATATATATATGTGTGTATATATATATATATATGTATATATATATGTATGTATATATATATACAATTTCAAACGTAAATAAATAATTCCATCTCAATAGTTGCATGTACCTTGACATTTCCTTTATCTGCTGTATACCTCGTTATGAACGAAAAAAAGAAACAATTCTCTATGCATTTCACAAGTATCCCGACAAACAAACTTCGTATTCTGAGGTAATACCTTATCAATGTTTTTTTTTTTAAACTTTATTTTTGCCAAAGAATATTACCTACGTTTCTAGTAGCAACATTTACACTTACCTGTAATTGTTTTTTTAATAAACTCTCGAGAATATACCATTACAATCTTAAATTCTTGAAATTTAACGTCTACTTTAATTTGTTCTAAATACCATAATAATCTTTACCTAATATTTTTTTTCACTTTACGCTCTTATCCATCTGTCTTGAGTGACTCTTAATCATGGTATCCGATGAACAATAGCAACAGATTATAATGTAAAATATACAGAGATATCGTTTTATTTTCTTAATCATAGCACTTCAGTGATGATTATCTCCTTGCCGAACAATGAAAATTAAAGGAATAATAAATAACTCTATAAAAATGTTCGCCACGACATCCATTTACGTTAATTGTGGGATCTCAACAGTTAAATATATTGTAAATCTGGTTCTGCAGTTTTATATACAGAAAATCCCGTAAAATGCTATTCGGCATTTGTATAGACTGCAATTTTCGTTCTTCAGTTTATACACTGCAAATTCTATTAAGGAGTGTTGTAGACTGCAAATCCTGTTAAATTCCGTTCTGCAGTTGTTTACACTGTAAATCAAATTAAGAAGTGGCATAGACTGCAAACGCCGTTAAATCCTGTTCAGCAGATGCATAAAAATGAAATATAGCACGAGACAGGACTCCAGCGAAATCTTGGCGAAAATATTTACTGAAAAACGTGGTTTACACATTTAAAGTCCTAAGTGTCAATCATCTGCCATCAGGTTTTATGTTGTCACCATTTTTAAGAACCTATTGATTTAAAATCCCATTACACTATCAGATTTGATAACATGGTCAATAACATTTCACCCTTAAAGGAATACATCTGGTTTAAATTTAAACTGTAAAACTTTATTTCATCAAGATTAAAGGAAAGAAAATTCTTCTGGCTAAAATACTCAATCTTATTTGAACAACATTTAAATAACTTTTAGAAAATACATTTAATTTGTAGTCTATTCTCGGATATTATCAATGTTTGTCACTTCATTCGCAGAAAGTAGAACTAAAGCTTACAGATGATTTGTGATGTTATATATTCCCTGGTAAGAGAAAACTTAAACCACTTTATATAAGACGGTGTATTCTTATGTAATCATGAACATTTTAAAGAATGTGTGGTGTACATTGCTTAAACATTTTCGAAAACGTTATTTTTTTAACACCATTGGATTTGTTTGCAAAAATAAATACTTTGCATAACAAAATCAAATTCTAGTTTTTTTAATTAGAAAATAAAACCTATATGTTTTAAGTAGAAAAAATAAACGAAATATATCAATTTTACAGTTATGGAAACACATTTTCCTCTTCTGAACTGAGTTTTCGCCAAAGGCAAAATCAAACTTAATTTCAGTAACCGTTTAAGCAGAAAAATATGATTATGTATGGTCTGGCTGTCAACCCTTTAAATCCTTAAGTCGATTAGAAATTCCCGTTTGCTTGAAAGATCTGACTGCGTCGTGTGTGAAATAGATAAAGTAATCGAAATTACTGAATAGATATTGATTTATGATAACTTATCATGAACTGAGAATTAAATAGCAAACACGCTGTATCTCTACATGTATTTATCTTCATGCAATAAGTAATAACTTGGTAACAAACATATAGGTCCCTTAAATCACCACATATTTAAAAAAAAATGTTCCAAATTTTGAGACTGTATATATTAATAAAATATAGATAGAAAGATATAATTAATACAGGATTTTTATATACTTATAATTAATGACTTTTTTCATAAATTATAATTAATGCCGGCTTTTTCTGGAAACGGATAATTAATCGTGCATTTCTTTTTAATTAAAGTGTAAAATAATGTGAGACTTAATTCTTGAATTAGTCAGAGTTCAAAACAGTTCATTTCTGCGAATTTCAACGTAGTTTTCCATTTATTTTTTACAATTTCCCTTCAGAGTAGATGCCATAATGGCTATCCACTTTATTATCTGTGAATTGGGATGACTATTTGAAAAGTGAGTGGTGTTGTCTCCCGTTTTCTTCTTCCCACTTTTAAATACAGAGTCATTTTTCACTTGGAATGCCTGCTACGGAAGCCTAGCTAGCCTACCCAGTATACCTTATCATTTATGTCAGAGAATAGGGAATGGGGAGAGAAGATGGTTTATCCATCTTCAAACAGAATTAAGAAGAAAATCAATTCAAAACCCTAGGTCGGAATTTCAACACAGCTCGACGATTTCAGTTTCTGAGCCGATAAGTTTCATTTCAGTTTCTTAACCTTATGTTAACTGTACATTCCTAAGCAAGCAAATGAATATAAAACAAAGTAAAACCAGCGCAACTATTACTGATATTTTTTTTATTTTTTTTATTTTATTTTTTTTAGACTAATCACAATTTTATGGCTTCTCAACCTTTTGCTGGTAATTTAAAACTAGAATTTTTTGTAGATTGCAATATTTTAGGGGTTGGAGGAGATAATATTTTTTTAGTGATACAATTTTTATTAAGCCATAGATGGAGGGAGTGGAGGTGGGTTTGTCGCGGGCGCCTTTGGCCGCTCCCTAAAGTGGAAGAGAACAGGGCACTTCAAGCTTGACTTTTTGATCGTGTTCCCAACACGCTGGTAATTTAGTTTTAGAGATGCGCTAATTACCCTTTAGTTCGTTGGTATAACGAACCTAGTCGTAATAAACCCCTTAGCATTTTTAGATATTTTTTTTCTTAGAGAATCTCAACTCATTTTTTGAGAGATTTTTTTAGCATTTTTGCGGTTGGTCTCCTTAGCATAACACAGCGACTTCACGCCGAATTCACAGTCGGCACCTACGCGTATGAAAGGTCTGCACTCAGGCGTCTGAACGGTCGGTACGCATGTTCCTGGCCTTTGTGGCCAGGACGCCGACCCGGGCTGCGTATTAAGTTACGCTCCCGTTTTTTTTTCTGCCAAGTGGACGCGAGTTGGATCTATCTCTATTTAATTCGCCTCTCTACTTCTGGCTCCTTGCCCATGTTCGAATCCCGGCATTCGGTTCCTACTGGCTGTCCTCACGTCGTCCGTAACCTTTCCCGTACACAACGGTTATGATTATTACGGGAGGTTTCGATATCGGACTCTACCAGCAGACACGCACCGGACATTCGATATGCCTAACAACATCGCAACGCCAGGTCCCCCTTCCTTCCCTACACGTCCAGACCGAAACCAAACCAGCCGACCAGCACTGATCATCTACAGCGACCATCACCGATTATCTGTAACGACCAGCATCAATCAATTGTGACGACCAACCAACCTTTCCCGTATACTATCGGTTGTAATTACTACAGGAGGTTTTCGACACCGACCTGGACCTGCAACGTCCAACCGTCGACACGACCGAAACGTCTGCCCCTCGACTTTAACCGTCGACACGTCCGGAACGTCTGCACCTCGACTCTAACCGTCGACACGTCCGAAACGTCTGCACCTCGACTCTAACCGTCGACACGACCGGAACGTCTGCACCTCGACTCCAACCGTCGACACGTCCGAAACGTCTGCACCTCGACTCTAACCGTCGACACGTCCGAAACGTCTGCACCTCGACTCCAACCGTCGACACGACCGGAACGTCTGCACCTCGACTCCAACCGTCGATACGACCGGAACGTCTGCACCTCGACTCCAACCTTCGACACGACCGGAACGTCTGCACCTCGACTCCAACCTTCGACACGTCCGGAACGTCTGCACCTCGACTCCAACCTTCGACCCGTCCGGAACGTCTGCACCTCGACTCCAACCTTCGACCCGTCCGGAACGTCTGCACCTCGACTCCAACCTTCGACCCGACCGGAACGTCTGCACCTAGACTCTAACCGTCGACACGACCGGAACGTCTGCACCTCGACTCCAACCTTCGACCCGACCGGAACGTCTGCACCTAGACTCTAACCGTCGACACGACCGGAACGTCTACCGTCGACACGACCGGAACGTCTGCACCTCGACTCTAACCGTCGACACGTCCGGAACGTCTGCACCTCGACTCTAATCGTCGACACGTCCGGAACGTCTGCACCTCGACTCTAACCGTCGACACGTCCGGAACGTCTGCACCTCGACTCTAACCGTCGACACGTCCGGAACGTCTTCACCTCGACTCCAACCTTCGACACAACCGGAACGTCTTCACCTCGACTCCAACCTTCGACACGACCGGAACGAACGCACCTCAGCATCCCTTCGTCGACCTCAACGTCCAACCGTCGACACTACCGGAACGTCCGCAATCTCTTTCCATCCGCCGTGACCATCCTCATTTTACGATACGGGGCCGATCAGGTTGTTGTTTCATATTGTGACCCCTCCAGCGTGTCTGCTACAGGTTCATACATTTTTTCAAGGCTGCTTTGGCGTAAGTGAATCTGACGAACTCAAATGAAATTCGAACTCGACTATGCTATTTAAAATTGCGAGTCATTATCTATTGCACCGCATGCACATCCAAGATTACAACACCTGATATTCATAATCGGTTACCCGTCTAAGTACTGACCGTGCTCTATATTTCTTAGCTTCGGTGATCGTACGCGAACAGGTGTTTTAACGTGATAAGGCCGAAAGCTCAATGTAACTATATACTAAGAGCCGTCTATTTATTGGATATATATATATATATATATATATATACATATACACATACAAATTCTTAAAAGAGTGCTCAATTTATATATATATATATATATATATATATATATCGTTTCCATTCATCTGCCTAAAATATACAATGTTCATTTAATAAACATCTCTTGCGTTGTCCTAAACTTTCAAGAAAGATTTTCATATAAAGTTTTTACCAAGAGACATATGTTAATCAATCTAGTCGCAACTAAGATACTAATCAGGAATTTCTCCTCCCTATGAAATAGTCATGTATGAGTTGGTAGTTTTATATTCACTGAATGTCTCAATATTCCGACATTTTATAGTATACTAAAAATTTAATGAGTAAATTTCCAAACACTGCTAGTAATATCTATTACTCACAGAACGAAATGAAATCGTTCTATTTCAGGTTTATGCAATTGCTTTACTTTTATTGTTCCTGAAATTATGGACAATGAACGTAAACTCTTTTGATACTTCTTACTGGAAGAGTAATCGCTTTATGAAAGACAGACGCGGCTTTTAGAACTATGTTTGGCAACCAGTCAACGTCAGAAAGAAACACAACCTACTGTGTGAAAGTCTTCTGCTTAGTCAGTCATGAATCGAAAGCCACATGATCGCCCTACGGTGTTTTAAGTTTCAATTAACTGACTGACTGGATTGCTTTATGAAATATTATTTGGGCAATCATTCCAACGTTTAAACATTTTTGTTTATGAAGCAGTTATTTATTAATTTTATAGGCGTGTGATTTTGAAAAAAAAAAGGATAATGTGATATTTTATAAATGAATAATAGGACTACCTAGAAAACCACATGTAATTGTAAACACTTCCGTCTAAATTCCATCCTTATTTGGTTGGTTATATTAATGAGTTTTTTTTTTCTAACATCTTTACATTCAACTTTAATTTCAAATATTAGGATGCTCGAAAGTTATTTCCTTTTTACGAGAAAGAATATAAAAAATAAGTGAAATTTATTTAAATATTCGTGTATTCGGAAAATAGTGATATTTTATCAGCATGTAGAAGCAAATGTAATGTATTCAAATATTACTAGAAAAATGTAATCAGCTTAATTTTAAGGTACTTATTCCCAAATGTCAGGCAAATAATTGATTCCGGTTTTAAAGATTTTTTTCAAGGAAATTAGAAAACGGTTTTCAACCTATTTGTTTCTTAATTTTCTTCGTCACGTGCTATATTCTTGTAATCAAAACAAATGAAACGCTGTAGTTGCACATGATCGTGAGTATCGAGATTGTGGAAGAACTCTCCGTCTTAATGATCATGCTTTCTTGTGTTTGTTTAGCAGAGTATGCACCTTGTATTGTCATTCAAGGTAATAAAATAATTTGCTTTTGGTTTATTCAGTTAATTAGCTTGAAATAAACATCTGCAATGATAGTCTTTCCATATTTTATGAGTTCATAATGAACGTCACTTTTTCATATCCCACGAGGAAAAAAAGCAAGAAATATTGAATGGAGGAATCGCAAAACCCATTTTTCTCCAACTATAAAAACATGGTGCAGTTCCTGGTAAAATGATTTTTGCTGATGCTGTATATTTCGGTTGGTTCGGTTCTCTAACGAATGCTCATGAGGTTCCCAAATATCGTCTTTGCACCTTTGGCCAACACACTTAAGATATTAATGACCACTTCAGCATCACAAATTAATTTAGTGCCTAGCTTTAGTTTTTCGATGTGGATCCAACTCAATAGTCTTCCAAATGTTCTAAATAAATCGTATGTCGTTTTCCAGAGAGAAGCATGTTTGGATATCTCGAAAATCAGCAAATGGAAACATTTCTAACTGTATCTAACATTTACAAACCGTCACTGCATCCGAATACGCTGCATTTTTGTTTATAAATTACCTTGTTGTATTGTAATGATTTCGCCATCCATACAACAAGCAACTGCTAACATGTTGTTCATTATAGAAATTATACTCCATGGTGACATTTACTACAATCTACACACTTTTGAACAAAAGAGAAGATAAACTAATTCTAGACGCTGTTTCTTACAAGTCAACCTTGGTTCTGCATTGGTTGGTCGACTATTAATTCAAAGCAGGGATGTACATAATTACTTTACGAACACATTAATTGAAGGGATAAGAAACTAATTCAAGACGCTTTTTCCTACCATTCAATCTATTTTCTGCTTTGGTTGCTTGTCTCGTAATTCCTGGCAGTAAAATACGTAATTACTTTCCGAATACCCAAATATAAGTCATGATAAAATAATTCTAAACGCAGTTTACTACCATTCAACCTCCATACTAGCTTAGTTGTTTGTCCGCTAATTCATCATGGTGAAATACGTAACTATTTTCCTGTCACCGAAATATTTACTTAACTTCGTCTTGCACAGGGGCAGAACTGTGTCAATCAGAGAAGAATGAATTCATTAAAACAATAATGATCTGTGAGAGCATTCTGCTAACCCCTAAAACCAAGGTGAGTTGCATAAATCTTTTTTTAAGACCGTTAAGTAATACTTTTTACTTTCCTTATATATATATATATATATATATATATATATATATATATATATATATATATTATTTTTTTTCATCTTATGCATAATGTTCGTGATTCGTGCTTGGGTTCTCTGTGAAGCTATTTGAAGCCAACTTTTAAAAAAAAGATTTTTTTCAATGCACTAAGAGGTAAAATCAAGTTATATAGTGAATTCTAACAAAAGACGAAGGATCATTGATCTTCGCCATTATAGCAATGGAATAAAATCTGGAATCGAATAGAAAATTATGCGAATTGAAACGATGGGTGTGTCGCTATTATTATAATGGGGAAAGGTCTTTTTTCCGAATCAAAGGAAACGGTTGCAAATTACTTCGTCCATTACAAAGAATGAATCAGTCCATCGGAATAGTCAAGACGAACTAGTCGCTTACAGGAATTACAAGAGCAGTTTGTAAAAAAGGTAGTTAGGTACGAAAACATTTTCCGTTGATGAAACGTACTGAACTATGAAAAAATTAACGACCATGTAAAATTCCTCAATCAAAATTCATAGTTCAAGGTACATGTGTTTAGATGTGATTATAATATGCTAAATGTATATCGGCCAAGGCATAAATATGAACGAGATAAACTTGCTTCAATTTCCATCTGTCTAATTAGTCGAAAACAAGATAACATTAGTAGGGTAACTTATGAGGATTGACAACACTAAACATGGAAAGAAGTGTGTATTCTTCTTAGTTTGATTTCATTCAACCATGATTAAACAGTTGTGATATTTATTAAACTGAAACGGTTTAGCAGCGACGTCTAATGACCATCCTCAATAATCTCATGACTCGATGGTTGTTGCGGCATTCGACACATTGATAACTCTCTCCAAATGTCCCAGTAGGAATGAATTCATGGTCACGCACATATTGGCATTGATTCCATCGGGAGAAGACTCACACCTAGCCGTGAATTTCATTCACCCTTACACCCAGAGATACAACGTCAACGGCGCTCTGGTGATTATTCCAGTAGTTCAAATCCCGTGAGAATATCTGTCGAGTTTTAAGCGACTGCAGACTAAATGCTGTTCTTGATGAGCGTACAATTCGATAATAAAACTTTCTGTATCCCGATTTCTATCCTCTCTGACTTTCTAACAATTATGACTATCTACCAAATTCAGCTTAATGAATTATAAATGTCACCGCCTCACCTTGAGCCGAACATGTTGTTCCAACCTAGGTAAATACAAGGATATAAAAAGAACTTTTCAACGAAGAAAAAAAACACTCCACTATTAGATTATTTCATTGATACAGCTGATACCTAATATCAATAATCCTATACGAGAGGTAATGCCTGACAGTTCTCTCAGAGATACAGAGAAAATCGGACGCAACAGAAATGTGATCCGACAGAAGAATGCTAGCAATATAACAATAACGTATTTCTGGACGTAGAAGACTTTATTTTCGATCCATATCATTCAGGGATGTTATCTGAAAACACATTGAAAAAAAACAAAAAAAAACGAACGTTGTCGGAAGAGAAGGACAGAAAGATTGATTTGAATCCTCTGTATTTATCAATTTAAATTCAACAAGTTTATATTTAATAAATTTGCATAATATTTTATATTTGCACTGGTTATTTTTAAAAATAATGTATAAAAGAAAACAGTTCATTTGGACTAAATGGTCATTCGAGATCTCAAGTTAAATTCATATATACGAAACATCGTTAAAGAGATTGGAAAAAATTGTTGGTTTCTTGTAACGGTAGAGGAAGATTCAAACACCGTCTGTCATGTTTTATCTTTAAAAAGAAAAAAGGCACATCAGACCAACAATGGAATTCTGATGTCATAACATGGTTGGAGCTGCTAAATCCTCATTTTTCCCGCCTCAGCGGAGCCAATAGTTTATTGTATCCTCCATCTTCCATGGGCAAGCGTGTTCGGAGTGATAGATAAAGAAAAAGAGATTGAGATGAATTTCCTGTAAGAACTACTCAGGTAGTAAACCTTCGAAATTTTAACAATGAACGGATATTTCTTATAAAAGTAACAGGTGCATACGGCATGCAACGTACCTGACAAGCTTACGTTTATTAACGGTGGAATGGGGACTAGGAAAGTTGTTAAAAAGGCACATATTACTAACATCCTCAAGGGAAAAATCTTAAAATATATTAATGTGTATTGGGTATTGCATTAACAAAATATAAATGCCTAGTGACATTTTGATATGTATTTATTTATAAGTAAAATTTAAAAATGCGGATAGATTAAATTTCTGTTTTCTTCTAAGAAGGCTTAGAGATTTTCATGTTCAAATTTATTAAAAGACGCAATCATTGAGAATAGTGCCAATTTTCTGATCTAAACGCGTGTACACAATCACCTCATTTAGCTTGCAGGAGTTTCATAAAGAACGTTTCGCTTTGTTCAAGGAATGAATTT